ATACCTGCGGAAAGCTCAACAATGTATATCTGCAATGCTTGATGTCCTGGCACCTGAAAATTCGCAAGAAATGTGGACGGAGCTTTGTGATCGTCATGCTGTAAGCAGAGAGAGTCAGGTTGTGGTCGAAGGCAGAAGTGAAAAAGAGACGGAGCTTCTTAGTGTATTTGTTGAGAGCTACTTCAACTTGCAACATTGAAGCACCAGACGACAAATACTCTCTTTGATGGCAGATAAGTTATCCCTTAAGGGGATGAGAAAGTTCATTCCAACCGTTACTAGCTATCGCTACACCATTGTCCGACGCCATAGGCTGTTACATGGAAGAGCTGCTCCTCTTCCAAACTAGGAGAAAACGAGAATGAGAATTGAACCTGGCTGTAAAATTAGAACATTTTGTTTCTTTCATAACGAGTTCACACGTAATTCAAGACGTTCCTTTTGGGGAAAAACGTCTGAAATTGTCAACTGGCGAGATCATAAAAACACCCAATGTGATTAGAACAATGATACCAGAGCGCATTGTCCAGCAGTATCAACAATACTGCTGTGAAACCAACTTTGAGCCTATGAGTAAGTAAGAGAACCCACAGAGAGTTTTGGCCGTGTGTTCTTCATCTGTTCGCAAGTCTCTGCAAGGACATGATAACTTTTCAGCACAAGGAGTGGAAGCATTTGATCATTTAGGGAAACTCGTAGACAAGCTTGTTGACTGTGGCAAGACTCAGCAATGGAGGAGGGAAATTAAGCAGCAACTTCGTTTGTCGAAGCAGTACCTAACGGGCGACTACAAGGTGGGTGCATATTTTATAATTATGCGTTGCCTTTGCGGAAGTGATGTAGTAGACTTCTTACTATGATAGACGGCTACCTCTTTCTTTCTCTCCAAGTCTTTTTTATGCTTAATTTATCAAACAAGAGTTTACAATTCACTGTAATACGCTTACACAGATGTATACAACGCTGAGAATCGGTTAAGTAATCTTTTTGAAATGTCGATGCGCATGCGTTGCTTTGCAAATACACACTGAATCACGCGATTGTCATTTTACTTTTTTTTGTAGGTACATGCAGTGGAGGCCTCAGAGGTTCCCGATCATTGTCGAAGTTATGCGCTAAGTGATCCAAGCAACGCAGAATTTCGGGGCTCCTGCGACCATCTCCACAATAAGTCATGTCTGCAGTGTTATGAGTTAGAAGAAGTCATGCATACCATAGAAGATGAGTGTTCAAGTGCCCTCTCGTCAGCAGAAGATCAAGCTGACATGCTGCATACCTTCAAACAGACAAGGGATGATATCATTAGCTGGAAAGTCCATCAGCTGCGTTCAGTCCACCAAGCTGAGGCAAAGCATTCAGTTTTAGCCAAACTCGACAGCCGATCGGTGCTGTTAGTCCAGGACTGGGCAATGAAATATATGCCCCGAAAATATCGAGAGACACAGTCAGATTGGTTTGCGAAGCGAGGATTGCCATGGCGCATTAGCGTTGCCATGAGACGGTCAGAGGGTTCTGAGAACTTTGAATCGCAGACACTTGTTCACGTATTTCAAAGCTGCGCCCAAGACAGTGGCTTCGATAACGCTTGACTGCCTCACTACCCTGAAAAAGGAAATTCCAGACCTGGAGATGGCTTATTACAAACAAGATAACGCTGGCTGTTATCACAGCGGAAATTCAATCATCTCAGCTAGGCTGGCCGGTGATGCCGTAGGAGTGGCTTTTGTAAGAAACGACTTCTCGGACCCTCAAGGTGGAAGGGGGTATGTGATCGCAAAGCAGCAACAATCAAAGGCGACGTTGGAAGGTACGTAAACGAAGGCAATGATGTAATCAACGCTTTACGGCTCAAAACAGCCATTGAATCTGGCTAAGGAACTACAGGAGTTAAAGCAAGCTATGTTGCTGCCAAGCCGTCGAGCACCTTTAATATCAAATGGGATGGCATAAGCTTACTTAACAATTTTGAGTACGATGAAACTGGCGTACGAGTGTGGGTTCCGGTAAAGTAGTGCCATGGGCAGAGTTCGAAGGAGTCATGAAGCAGCCCGAAAAATTGGAAATCCTAGACCTCCCATCGCAGAATGCAGGTGGCGCACCGCCGTTCAAGATTGTGAGACACCGACATATCAAGAAAAGCTCTGTCAAAGCAGATTTCTCAACTGAAAACGAAAACCAAGATCGAAGCA